TGGCACAGACAGCGGGCTGCCGGGCGAAACCTCCAGCGTCTGCTCCAACGGTGAGTCCCTAGTCTGTAACACGCCGAGAGACCTCGTTCCTAGTCAGAGGAACGGCGCCAGGCGCCTCGCGAAACCTCGTCCCTCGTCAGTAGGACCACTCACGTTTTCTGTCCCTGGTCAACAGCACGACGGATCCAGAGACCGACGTCTTTCGATAATGGCGTTGACATGTTCCGTGTAGGACGACGCTGGTGCCACGGTGACGTGTAAGCTTTTTGGGTTTAGGTCTTAGAATTTCAGGAACCAAAAAAGCAATTTTCGTAGTCCTTATATATCAGGTTCATTGACTTTGTTTAAAAAACAGACCTTGTTATTTCATTATTAAATTTTTACGTAAAAAAGAAATGAAATAAAATGAAATAGGCCCTACATGGTAGACCCTAAATCATCAGTCATATTACGGTCTTAGCTTTCATACCTTGGCACCGGGCGAATTTGCTACGGCGCCCAGTTAATTGGTAAAAAACGTTCGGTAGGACTAATTAGCCCTGAACACGGAGCGGCTGGGAATATAATAGGCTAATTCGATTTATTTAAACGTCTTACGTGTCGCAGTCCGCACTGTAACGCGTTTAATCATCGCGGGCTGCATGAAAAGTGTGATCCGTGTTGACGCGGATCTAACGACCAGGTCCGGTACCGAATGCCGTGTTCCTCCCTGCGTTAACTAATATCCTCTGTGGTAATTTGTAGTTTCCGTTAGGAAGGCGCAGATCATCAGTTTTAATCAATATCGTAGGCCTAGGCCTGTCATCGGAGAGTAAATGGCCGGTGGTTCTAAAATAGATGGGCCATCCAGTTAACCGCGTCTCTGGTACATCACGCAGGAGCCCGTCGGCTTTCCATACGCTGGTTGCTAGGGAACAAACTTTGTGGTCGCTTAATTTGTCGTTTGCTCGCGATATGTCGGCAGTTTATTTTGTCGTTTACCCGAAAGGACATCGGTCCTCATGCTCGATAGCCTTTTTTCTCATAGAAACAAACGAAGCGCTTTCTTTAGCGGGTCACTCACCGCATACTCGACTGGGACCAACTCCATGAAGCAAGGTCCTCACTGGTAAGCTAACAGTCGCTCAGCTAGTCAAGAGATTTTCCGACTTTAACGGTTTTCACAACAGCCCGACAGTGGACCTTATCTTCAGCTAAATAAATCTATTCAAAAGGGCCTCCTCCAAGCCCTTATTTAACATCAATTTTAACCCTTTGAAGCCGAAGATCGTCTGAATATTATTTATGAATTCAGTCCGTACCGCGAAGAAAACACTACACCTCACCATTACGAAAATCAGCTGGTTAACCCTTTGAAGCCGAAGCTCGTCTTCATAATATTTACGAATCCAGACCGTACCGCGAAGAAAACACTTCACTTAACCATTAGAAGTCGAATCAGGCGGTACCACATAAGATTTAACAAAAGGACACCCCGGTCAAAGCCTTAATATTATCCATCCCCTGTATACGTATCTGTCTCGATTGGTCTCTTCCTATGAGATTTTTACGTTAGACTGTTCTATACAGTTTCCACGTGCTACATATCCAGCCCATCTCACTCTTCTTGATGTTATCGCCCTAATAGACCTAATAGCCAGGCTATTTGGTGAACCGCGCGCTAAGAAATCCCAGATTCACGCAAACTCCTTTCAGTTTAAGTCAAATTGTCCTGCAGCGATGGAAGTTGAACACGCACGCAGCCCCGTGAATAGGTCTAAGTGATTGATGTAATTTGCACGTGTACCCCTTAAGAGCGAACATCCGTCAAGTGTCTGACTTCCACTTCTTAATGTATTTCGACCTAGGTTTCCCGGGAGAAATAATACATGCATGTAATGCCAAGATCAGCAGAGGCTGTGGTCCAGAAGACAACTGCTACTACTGCTGTAGTTATAGATGGGTCTATTGAGAGGCACAGCTAATCCTGTGGGAAGAATCTTACAACTTCTCTGCACGCCAAATAAAACTCTCAGTTTTCTCTTGTATCTAGATTTACTGGCCCTTGTAATTTTTTCCCAAAGTTAGGAGTACGTTTAGGAATGCACTGTGGTCCAAGCTGATTATCTGGGGGCACAAGATTCTAATCTTAGTGACGTCACATGCTCTCAAACGATACCTACGTCTTTTAAGTCGGAATTTTGTGACAGGATCTTTGAAATAGGCACGGCCATCATGTTTTAACCACATACTACACGTCATAACCCTTCCAGTTGATACCTCGTTCGTAAATAAGCAGCTCGCAGCCGTGAGAACCTAAGATCTCTCCTTCGTAGTTTGAACATATCCTCAGAATTAGACTAAAGGATTCTGACGCGTAGACTCGTAGGTAAGTGGTTTTAACATTGTGAAGAAATATTCCTACTGCCTCCATCTTCAAGGCTGAAACAACCGTCGTGAGAACTTCAAGTCTCAAAAGCATTTTGCAGAAAATACCTAAGCGTTACCCATTCTCGTGCGACATGAACAATGTCAGTCCGGCTTTCTCGTAATTAAGACGTCTAAAGATACGTTTCATAATTGGAAAAGAATAGCAGTACATTCTTAGAAAGTTACATGCCAATTAGTCGAATATCAAACTTTCACTGTCCCGTGCAATTTTTCTATTCAATGAATCAGCTAACGCACGCGGGAGCTACTCGGCTATGGTGTGACGACTGGAAACCCCATGATCGATATCCCATTACTGTGCATCCAGTTGCTAAGCCACCGATTGTTGTGATCCCCCGTGGTTATGCTTCCCGCTCCACGCGTACATCTGTCACACGAGCGTGGAGCTGAGAGTGTGACAGGACTGATGGAGCGGGCGAGAGTTGGCAGGCCGAGGACGCACAATTTCAAAGGCCCGAGATCACACACAACCGTCTGTAGTTTACGCGAACAAATCTGGAGATGTGAATTCTTTTAACCCGTTAAAACCCAGTAGTAACTGTAGGTACCACCTGTTTTAGTAATCAGTAACTCAGTGCATTATTCTCAACAGTACCTAAATTAATTTAGTTAAATAATTAATTTTTGTAATCCGTATGCGTTGTGAGATTTCAGGTACTCACGGCTGCGAGTATGAAGATGGCTGTCTCGTAGGATATTGAGACGTTTTGTCTCGTAAAATTACCCTCATGATGTAGACAGTACGAACCTCTAACGGCACAACATCCAAGAAGACAGTCATCTTCGAAACGCATTGTTTTCTTTGTGGTACGAACTGGATTATCAAATATTATTGAAAAGAACTTCGACGCCAAAGGGTTACGGTCTGAGCGGTCTGCGTTCCGCTCAGCGTGGAGTCCCTCGGCCTGCAGATTCGCTGCGCACAAGAGGCACGCACGATGCATGTCATGTTACGACGCCAATTTCACGAGTCACTAAACGCCGCGTGAATATTTAATTAGGGAGTTTCTGAGGAAACAAGCGTCCACGATGTATGTAACCTAAAGACGTAACAAATTAAGTGCGTTTCATGTTTGCACATCGCATTTCGATTTTGTTGACAGAACGAATGTTTGTCTCCCCGGCTCCAAGTCCGCGTCTGGAAGTCAAGTTTGCATTTAGTTTTTCACTCACAATTCCCATTGTGCCTTGAAGAAACTAATGGAAATCGGCCATATTAGAAAGCAAGAAGACGGAGAGAGGGCAAGTTCAAATGGATTTTAGGGAAACGTTGTGTGAGAAACTGAAATGGCTTTCCTGGCGTTATTCAGAGCTGCTTTCAGTAGGCCGATATCGCCAATTTGTCAGGGTTACCACCACTACCAAACCTGGCGTTGTTTTATCTCCTGGGGCGCGTCGCACATTATTAAGACAGTACCAACTCTAACTCTGACTGCCACACAAAGATAAATTGAACTAAGTTACTTCAGGGAAGAGTAAAATATCAGGCTTTATAATTAAACATTACGCTAAAAAAAATTTTATTCTTTCATTTTTACTAGTCAAGAAATATTATTAGAATGATGGCATAGGAGAAACATGCAGCTTAGCTAAAAAGTTTTGGCCGGGAAACCTCAAAGTACGAGACCAGTTGAAACACGAGAGCGTATATGTGATGGAAAGCATAGTATAATATTAAAAGAGATCTTATTTAAATAGCCTACATTGTCAACTAGATTGAAATGGCTGGATATTTCGAAACCATCTGAGCGACCACGGGTCTGCTCGCCTTTCATGTAACTGTACGCGAGAGTACCTAGGTATTTGTAAAGCGTCGTTAACTCTTTCCACGTTACACACGTGATATTTAGGCTAAAAGGTCCTACTCTTTATAAATCGCATTTATTTACTGAAATCGGCCTACACGTTTCCCGCCTTGTTTAAAGACTAACGCAAACTATTTAGAGCGTTTCGACAATTACCTATCCTACAAGAACTCATACGCATGCAGTCCTCTACAAATATTGCTATGAAAAGTTAAAGTGATGGAAGGTTAGGTTGTTTAAGTAGGAACCAGCATGGAAGGCGTTGATTACGAACGTACTGAGAACTCCTTGCAACGCGCCGACGCGGCTTAAAACTGCGGCCTCCGGCGTTGGCAGGATCGGGGAAGCGAGCCGTATTGATGGAAGTTTACGACAAACAACGACGACATTTCAGATTACCTTTTGGAGCACTGATTGAAGATTTCACACGACGTCACAACCCAAAAACCACAATCATCATAAAATTAAATTCTCTCGATAACCATATTTTACACAAAACGTCTATGAAATGTGTTTAGTAAGAAGTTAGCTTCGGAGACAAAACACGAGGACGGACGGGCAGATGTTATCTCATTTTGTACACTCTTTGGAAAATAGTAGACACGTCTTTGTTCCAGACAATAATAACAAATAGGCTAATGAAATTAAAATATCTAAAATCTAACCGCCAAACTTATTTTCATTTGTATGAACCTAGTTTTTCTTTCAAGGTTCTTATATTTATGAAACCTTTCAGGTCATCAAGGAATCCAGCTGAGTTCATCCTATATCATCATTAAATATCACTCTGATTCTACAGGCATAAAAATATACGA